CCATGGAGTTCATTGCGCGCACACCGATCAATGATTTTGATCTTGGTGAATGCATATCAAGGTCTCACGTACGAAAAAATGCCTGTAAACGGGCGTCGTTTCACGATGTCGTCATTGGATAGCTTTCGATAGTTTGTCATAACTTTCTCTTACGAACTCCAATTGCGGTAATTCCAAATGCGTCTGAAAGCTAACTCAAAGAGCTACAATTTTTCGGAATACAAATTTTCCAATTTAAACGTTTGCTATCCAAAAAATGGGTCTCAAATTGAGGCTGAAAATTCGGAGCATAACTTCTTCGGCTAGCAATTGATTTGGGCAAATACTTTGACTCTATTTCACTTCTTTGACCTCCAATTGCACCCAATTGATGTCATATGATCTTCAACCATCGTTTTGTGGTCCAAATCAACAATTGAATATTTGCATTTTGGCCCTCAAACTTTGAAATTTCTTCGTTTTCGCATGTTTTTAGTTTCTTTCTTCTAAATCTACCAATTTACATTGAGTTCAATCTAACAAATATAATTAACACAAAATTAGGCTATAACTCATTGAAATCACTAACAAATATACTCTAATCTAATGGCCTAGATTAGATTCAACCATGAATTTATCTTGCACGTTTTCAAACTTGACGATTCCCAAACGAATTACCATATTAGTTCTTCATCAAATTAAGAAGGTTCCCATGTTATATTGGGACCTAACTTTTTTAACTTGTACTCTTGAGAGAGAGAGAGAGAGAGCTGAGAGAAGTGGAAGGACCCCGCAGGAAGGCACGGGAGACTTAGAAGTGCTCTGAAAAGCCGAAATTTAGTGACTTCTTTTCCTTTTTAAAATGCCATTTGGCTCATAATTAGACCCTACCACTTTTTTCTTCCACAAAAGGACAACGGCAAACGTGCTTTAAGTAATCATATTTTCTATTTCTTTTTTCCTCAATTATTAAATGCGACTTTGGCAATCCAATTTTAATTATTTATCAACTATGTATACTAGATTACGATTCATTAATTATGAATTCAAATTGGAATATTTAGATTCATGATTGGAAAGTTATGACAACTTTAATTACGAGTAAAACAACTAAGTACATGCTTTTTATCATGTTCAAACACGTTTTTTGAGAATTGTAAAATGCAAAGTTGTTATTTATTTTTATGAAGTACAAAAAATGTTGATTATTTTTATTTTAGAACTTTCGTTCTGAGAGAAAAATTTTATTTTATATTTTTTTTGAAGCAAATGAATTTGAAAGGGAGTGATGACACATTAATGTAAGAGTAAGTAAGAAAATTATTTGTCTCCTATAAGAAAATAAAGAGGTAGAAAACATCATTATACATAATTATTTTCATCGATATTTTTCTCATAAGGTTAAAAGATAAACATCTAGAAAGCATCTTTATAAATAATTAATCTTTATTCATTTTTGTTTTATTTAACTTTATGTCTTTATATTTATATTTTATTTTGCCATTTATGTGAATTAAAATTTATAGTGAATTTAGGCCCCGTTTGAGAGTGATTTTGAGAATTGACTTTTTGATCGTTACGAGAAAAGTGGGGGCCACCTGTGAAAAAAGAAATTAAAAATTATGATTGGAATAGGAAAATAACACTCAAAAAAATCAATTTTTTATAGCGAAAAATCACTCCCAAACAGGACTTAAAAGGATTGAAAAAAGTGTTGAATGGGGGAATGGTTGACCGGAAGTTTGGTATATCGGGGGCAAGAGATGACACATTCGAGGCCGCAAGATTGACTCGTCTCCACCCTCACGTGCGATTCCATTCTCAAATTATATTATATTATTGGATAATTACGACCTTTATTAATTAAATTTCTAACTAAATATTAATTAACATCCCCATATATATATATATATATTAAAAACTTGATTCCTTATCCCAAGATTTACATAATATAAATTGAAATTTACTGCTATAATGGTGACATCAACTTTATGCATTTTATGTTTTAAACTCAATTAGGGTGAAATTTAAAATGTTTTTGATTAATTTTACTTTTTATAAAAAATGTCATTTTCATTATAATTCCTACTTTTTGGGTGTTTGATTGACAATTTTTTTCACGAAAATAATTTTCAACTTTTGATCATGTGACCATATTTCTTACAAAAAATAAGGAAAACATTTTCTTTAGGGAAATGTAGTTATATCCCAAATGATTCACTCTTTTTCTCTCTCTCCCTCTCTCTTATCTATTTACCCTTTCTCATCTCTCAACCAATAAAAAATGAACAAGTATAATATAATTTTTGTTAAAAATTATATTAATCAAACACATTTAATTAATAATTTTCATATAATTAAGTTTTAAACAATTCAATGTCTTATAATTTATTTTCTTTCAATGTAAATTTCATGTTCGTAATCAAACGCACCCTTAATTATTAATTTTCATACAAATAAGTTCTACGCAATTGAGTTGTCTATAATTTATTTTCTTTTTATGCAATTTTCATGCTCCCAATCAAACATACCCTTAGCGTCTTGAAATCACTTTCTTTGTGTTGACAATACTTGAAATGTTTTAAAGAGCACTTCGTGAAAGAATTATATGGCGCAGTTAAGAGTTTCTTGTTCTAATTTAAGTAAAAGTATATTAATTTTGATTAACCATTTTGACTCAATCTAATCGACCTCCATCGAGAAATTTAGATCAGATTTTAGTAAATTTTGATAAATATTGATGAAATTTATAGATGAAAACTTGTAATTACATAAAATTAATTATCGACTTTGACTTGAAATTTTAATTTAGACCAAACAGGGACTTAATAAGATTTTAACTTGTCGAGTAATTTAAATTTTTAGGTAAAGTAAAATCAACATGATCAATATACCGAAAATTCGTCAAGTCGAAGTTGATAACAAGTAGGTCTAAGCGAGGTTTGATTTAGATCGATTTCGACTCTAACCCGAAATCAAAATCAAATTAATCGATTTTGGATTTTGGTGAACTTCAATCCAAACCAATCCATTCTAACTCTTAAATCAAACCGAACCAAACCAAATCGATTTGGTTTAGTATGGTTTGGACTTTTAATCAAAATTGAATTTTATAAAGATGTCCGAGTTTTGGACCCACTCAAATTATCAAAACTAAAATAACTTTATATTACAAGAGTTATTGATTAACAAAGAAAATCAGATTAACAAAGACGGATCAACTAAAAACTTAAGAATTTTGTTACCTTTTTATATATTATGTAGCATGACTGTTTAAGTAGGAAAAATAGTTTAGTATAATATAATGAGCTTGTGAAATGAAATTTTTAGTGTTATTGCCTAAAGGCAATATTATAAATTGGAGAAAATCGAAATAAAGTTGTGAGATTATGACTTATGTTTTGATTTTGATTTTTCTTAAAAAAATGGAGACGTGTTAATGGGTGGGGTTGGTTTGATTAACCAGTGGTTTGAGATTTCAAATCATGATTGAATCGACCCACCATAATTTTGTTTAAAAAAAAATAAAAACAAATTAATTGTCCGTGTCAAACCGACCTGAGTTCATTCAATTCGATTCGATTGGTGTGATCGATATTTTGATTTTTTTGCCTAGACCTAATATCACGAGTTCAAATTCTAATCACGAGTTTTGACGCGTTATAGTAAACCAAAAAAGTGAATTAATTAATTAATATATATAAACATCAATGAATAGTAAAATAATTAAAAGAGAAATGAAATAAAAATAATAATTATTTATCAATCAATGACAAAGATGTAATCTTATCTTAATTGATTCCCTAATCCCCACCATTAACCATTATAAAAATCCCGCGTCCTTCCTCCACCGTTACCTCTTAACCAGACCACCAACCAGTTGATACATACAGCCCCTGTATCTCTCTCTCCCTGCGAAAAACTGCACAAAGCCAAAAGTTACTTGTGCTATTTTTTTATTTTATTTTATTTTTCTTTCCCGCCTTATCAAGGCAAATTCTTGAAGAAATGCTTGAAACTGTGAAATACTTGATTGGTGCCGCCGGCCCAAGTGGTTTCGGCTCCAAGTCGACCGCCGAGCAAGTCACCAGCCACTGCCCGGAACTTCACTACATTACTGCAATTATTACAGGTAAAACAAATTGGTTATTATTTTTGTATTTAAGAAGCGTGAAAAAAAAAAAAAAACACTTCTTACATAATTTGACAGTAATTTGTGGGATACAGGAGCCACGTCTGGGATCGGTGCTGAGACGGCTAGGGTTCTTGCTAAGAGAGGAGCGCGGCTTGTGTTGCCGGCTCGGAACATGAAAGCCGCGGAGGATACTAAGGCTCGTATATTGTCGGAGTTCCCGGAGTCAGAAATTATTGTTATGGCTCTTGATCTTAGCTCCCTTCACTCTGTACGGAGATTTGCTGCTCAATTTCAGTCTCTCAATTTGCCTCTCAATCTCCTCATGTGAGTACTCTCGCTATATATATATGTGCATGAACCTCATATATCTTTGGTTGTTGAAACCTTTGCTAAAAAGAAATTAACGAATCTGAGTCTGCACATAAAGATAAAATTTAAATGAATATATGATCACTCTTGTCTATTAACGGTTTCTCTGTTTGATTAATTCAGAAACAACGCAGGAAAATTCTCGCTCCGGCACGCCATATCTGAAGATGGAATCGAGATGACTTTTGCCACTAATTATTTAGGTGAATTTTCGTATAAAACCTACTATAATGTATACAGATAAACTTGCGTATTAATTATTTTCGTAATATTTGTTTGGTATGTAAATTAGGTCATTTTTTGTTGACAAAACTATTGCTGAAGAATATGATCGAAACGGCAGAGAAGAGCGGCGTTCAAGGAAGAATAGTGAATGTATCTTCAAGCATCCATAGCTGGTTTTCCGGCGATCCCATTAGTTATCTTTCGTTTATAAATAAGAACAAAAGGTACAACTTATTTTGCCGATTTTAATTTTTTTAGTATTAGATAGTACTTAATAGTGCAATCCATAGAATTTTAATTTCTTTTTGTTCTATTACTCTATTTAATGTTGTTAATCTATTTTATTAAGTCACTATTTGATAATTATTAAAATCAAAATTTTAATTTAAACTAAAATCAACGATTAATTTTAACCACATATTTCATGGAATCAACATCTTTTCAACTATACATTTCACTAATTTTTACCAAAATCTAAATAAAAATCTGATTTTAATCCACACCAACCAAAGACTAAATATGTATTTGAACTTCTTTTTCCTATGCAATATTATTCATTATTGTCTAATATCCAACTTACCAAATATTCTATAAGATTTAGCCCCCGTTTGCTTATATAAAAAAATTATATCATTAGTACATTTTGATAAAAAAATGATGAAATGTGTGAATAAAAAGTTATGAATATCTCATGAAATGTATGGCTAAATTAATTGTTAATTTTAATTTTAATTTTCATCAACGTTTTTAGATATGAACTTAAGTTTTTAGATGTCTATTATTGATTTGTTATCAAAACAAATAAAGTCTCACTTGTTACTTACTCATAAAATTATGCATGTATTAAGCCCTCTAATCAAACTAGGATGCATATGAAGAGAAATTTATTTTTATTTTTATTTTTAATATGTACATTCTTAAGCATAATTTCCTATGCCTAATCTAATTAACCTATTTAATATTTAAGTTTTTTTATTAATATATATGAATAAGAGCTGAATATTAAATAGATATTGATCCAGAAATAAATGAAGGAGGTTTGACTTGATTCACAGTGATTCTTACGATGGTACACGTGCATATGCTCTCTCGAAGCTTGCCAACGTTTTGCATACCAAGGAACTTGCTCAGAGACTGCAGGCAAGTGAAATATTCAATTATTTTTTATTAAAAATAGATTATAATTAACAACAAAAAAAGTGAAATTTGTTGCTTTCTAATCATAATATCATACATTCAATAATTAATTGCAGGAAATGAAAGCCAACGTCACAGTTAACTGTGTGCATCCAGGGATTGTGAGAACAAGACTCACTAGGGACCGTGAAGGCCTCGTCACTGGTAAATGCACAATGCATAGATTCGTTTTCAGAAATATTTTAAAAATTGATCGGATTATCGACTCTGATAACAAATAAAGGGTGCTGGGTGCGTCAAACTTTATGAAATATGGTTAAGTTTTGCGAAATTCACCTAATTAAACACTCATTCGACAATGAGTGTGTGCAATTTTGTATGCATAAAACTTCTAATAATAAAAACTTTGATCCATATGCAGATTTGGTATTCTTTTTGGCTTCAAAGCTATTAAAAACAATTCCTCAGGTAAATTTCTTTATTTAACTCTTTCAGGCATGTTTCTTACACTATAATGAACAATAAAATAGACGAATATTGTGGTACCTCTGTTCTCGTCCAGTGCAATATATCAAAAATGTATTTTAACGTTTTTAATATACAAATATACACACACTTCAAAAAATCATCTAGATTGTTTTATTTTATTCACGGAGAGGGCTTTGTAACTGAATTTTGATACCTTATACTGAATTAATCTTGATTTTAAACTTTATTTGCTTAAAAATCGTATTTATGGGTTATTAGTATCAATGAAAAACTTTTTTTTTTTGTCAGGCAGCTGCAACAACTTGTTACGTTGCTATACATCCAAGACTTGCAAGTATCAGTGGAAAATACTTTTCAGATTGCAATGAAATTTCAACCTCGAAATTAGGGTTCAACTCAACAGAGGCTGCAAGATTATGGTCCATCTCTGAAATCATGGTAGCCCAGAAAATCCAGGCCGTTCATTCTCAATCTAGAAAAACATAAAGAAATGTAGGAAATACGTACATATACATATATAAGAAAGTTACACGTGCAGTTGTCAGTCAGGTAAAAGGGTAATAATATTTAGATGTACAAAGTTAATTTCAAGAAGTATATATGAAAATTTAAAGTAGAACAGTGTCTGTTCGTAGTATATATATTGTCATATGGACTTTAATTGGGTAGGTAGATTCTTGTAACATTATATGGTTTATCGAAACGAATTTGACATTTTAAAATAATTAAGATATATGGTTTCTTTATTTTCCAACACTCTCTACTAAAATGGTCTTGTAAGTGTCTTAATAATATATTTCTTTGAATAATTCTAGTGGTACATAATTTCTTGTACCAGAGAGTGTCCACCTTCTCACATGAGTGGACCCCACTTGAATATTTTATTCAAGCGTTCCCCACCCCATGTGAGAGTGTGAACACCATTAGATACAATAAATTATGTACCACTAGCATAATTATATTTGTTTTTGTGTCATTGGGACATGATATAATAGTATCATGATTAGCATTATTCTTGCACATAAGATACCCAAACCATGGTTTCTTCGTATTTTTATTAGAGAGAATTTCAAAAAATAATAATGGAATCAATAACATGGAGTAGTTCACTATCATGTGGGAGGTCAATTTTTGAAGAGTATCTTTGGGTGTTTGAATGGGACCTACTAACGTGCATTAGGTTGAGACAACCATGAGTTCGAGGAAATTAAGGGATTCTTCATTTTCTTATCTATAAACTTCCTACATTTATTGTTTATGTTAGAGATGAATTTGATCATTATTAAAACAAAAAAGGTTGAACCACAATCTTGAGAGTCCCCCACCGCCCCTGCCCTGGAGCATGATGAGAGAGGTAAATCGTAGGTTATGCCTTCAACAGTACAGGGTGGAAGACTGTTTGTACACTTGCACTTATTCAAGAGCCAAATCCATATTTCAGAATTCGAACTCTTGACCCAGCAGCCTCAAATAAAGTTGAATTTCTCCACCCTTCCCTTTGATCATTATTATTCTTATATAGTATTGAGTATGTTTATTCATATTAGATTAACCTTGTAATTACCTTCATTTTTTAATGAGTAGCATTGTGCTGCTCATCCAACCGACCATGATCTATTTGGCATTACAGCATAAGAGAAAATCAAATTTATACGCCATATGCCATCTTTATGATTTGGTACCTTTCGCTTTTTCATAAACTTTAAGGCCTTCATGGTTGACTGATTGTCCTATTCGAAGTAATTTAGTACTATAACTCCAAAATAATATTTTGAAATTTTCAATTTAGGCTGTAATGAACTTCTAAGGGATAATTTTCCATTTTGGGAACTTTTGAAGAAGTTTTCATTATTATTATTTTTATTTTTTCTAAAAACTTTATGGAAACTTTTGACCATTATATTTGAAAACTAAGATTAAGAATTACATTTTGTTGCAATTCAATTATGTCCCATTTGGTGGGATTAAAATAAGATATTTTGTAGATTTTGATAAAAATTAATAGAATGTATGATCGAAAAGTTGTGGAACCATGAAATACATGATTAAAATTAATTATTGATTTTGACTTAAATTAAAGTTTGGCTTTTAATCAATACCAAACAGGGTGTAAGAATTAACTTATTTGCAACCTTTAACTAAATTAATGTTAAATGTTCTTTTTAAAAATTAAATAGTACATATATAGCAATAAATTATAATTTCTTATACAACTAATGTCTTCTTTTTTCAAAAATGTATTCCTACTATAGTATTGTGTTGCATTACAATTTTCATTTCCATGTAACATATGTCACAATCATGCATTTTTCCATATCGAATGTCTTGTGTTGTTGGTTTCACTCTAAATGAGGTATCTGATAAAATAGGATAAAAACCAGTTCTTCTCTTACTCTCTGTATATATAAAAGTATTGTTTTAAGAAAAAAGAATAATATCCATTAAAGATGAAACCCATGTCATCCATATGGGCCTGACATCTTCATGGCGAATGGGCCTTGAGGAAATGGTGGACCAATTTACCATCCACTGGAGAAACAAAACTTTCTGTACAACGTGAAGTGTTTGATGTACACATTGCTGCCCATCAATCATAAGCAGTACTTCCTTTCTTTAGAGTTGTTCCACCATTATCCGCTGTCTGCATCAGATAGGCAAGTTCAAGTGGATTTTGCCACCTCCCATTTTCATCTCCAAGACCTTTTTCTTTTTAAAAATCTGAAATACTCGTAAACAAATGAACAAGCGATTAATCTCAAAAAACCCTAGTGCACAATAAAAAAATTACAGAAAATAAAGAAACAAGAACGCAGACTTTTTTTTTTTGGCATAAGCGCTCCCCAGAGGTTCCGTAATCACTTCTAATACCTAATCCTATATTTAACATCTACAACAGTGAATAATGCTCGTTTGCACTGTAACGGTCAAAATGACAACCAAATTTACAAAATGTTCACAATATACAAAGATCAAGTCACAGAAGACTCATCTTTAAAAATAATCTAAAACATTTGAGTTATTGTTCACTGAGAATTCATCAAACCACGCCTAAAACTTTAAAGAAATTATAACATGAGGAATAACACATTCTCCGTTGATTTCATCAAGAATCAAACCAAAAATTTGAAAGGAAGTAGAAAATTTGAATATCTCGAATGAGATTTAGAGAGAATTGAAGAGGTATTTTATCTCAAAATCAAAAGCCAGAATGAACTGAAGTGTCGTAACAGAAGCCAAATGAAAAGTCGCATTTCACAAACACGTTTTTGGTCAATTTCAAGAGCGCACGCTGTACACGTGCACCAAACTCAACAAAATCAAAACGGTATCAGTTAAGGACATGGAGAGAGAATCGTGTTCAATGAGTCTGACATGAGATGGTCACACTAATGGTCATAAAACAGCAACATCTCAAGACCAAATATATGGTCACATTTTAATCTTTAAATGTTAGCCACAAATCAATTGAGGACATAAAAAAAGCAGATATACTCCTAAAACCACAAACATGGCAACAGTAAAAGGGTCACAAATATTGGATTCTAATCATCTTAGTTGCGACATTGACTGACTCTAAGACCACAATTATTTTCCATCCGTGCAACTCAAGTGACATAAAGAAACACTTGATGTTGGAAGTTAAAAGTCACATGGGATTAATAGAATCCTTTAATAATAATGGTTGTGCTATACGTTTATAATAGTTTGGTAAGATATGATTGGATTATAATCTCTTCAATCAAAAAAGAATAAGAAAAAGAAAAAAACTTCTTTTGACACTACATCTGTATGTAAATCATTATTTACAAGTTGCAATATTCTAATTATAAGACACTTCCTGTATCATTGCAACCATTATTGTTTCCTCTTCTTCGCTCCATGTTATGAATCCTTGGTTCTCAATCTCGATTTCTGTTCTGAAGATGAGGGGCGTAAAAACAAGATTAGATAAGGAAGGAGAAGATTGTATTTGAAATAATAATTAATATCATAATATTTGGACTATTTGTTTTAATTAAGTCAATTTTTAAAATAGAATTGTCATTTCAAAATAATCCCAATTGACCTTATTTTTCACTTTGCAGTACAGGAAACTAACATAATTCTCTCTATTTGAAAGCCTTCTTCTCA